CTTCAGAATTCCCGGTGAGGTTTGACAGGTTTGTGTCCCCAGGTCAGGCTCAGGATTATGGAAACTGGGGTTCAGCTGGGAGCCCCGATGGGCACAGCTGTGACACTCGCACTTGAGGAATTATTAGTACATTTAGCAAAGTCACAAAGGCTCCAGCCCAGCGAGATAGATGGAGGGACGGCAGCATGTCCCTCCGAACCGTCCCGTGCAGAACAATCCAGACTGTCAGCCAGTATCTTCCTCCTCACCATCACCTTCCTCATCGTCACCCCAGTCGTCACCCCGGCACCTCCCAAGGGCTACATTGCGCTCTCCTTCTGCCCGCAGGCTGGGATGCGACTTGCCCATGATGTTACGCTGACATCACCCTGCCTAATGCCTGTTCTGTAGGGGTGTCTCCCCTCTTCCTTATGTGTATCTCCTCCCACTACCAGTGCTGGGGGTCCTTCTCCCATAGGTCATGGCTCTCTGGTGGTCAGACAGCAGCCGATGGTCCCATGCTAAACTATCCGCAAGATGGTGTTCGTTCCTGTTCCTGGTGTTGTTGTGGACAAAGCTCCCCCTTAAACACTCTGTTCCCACATCCCTAAAACTTAGGGGTCATGGTTGGGCCATTTATCTGTGCCAAAGTTCATAGGCCCCAAGCCTTATGCTAACTGCTGAGGCCAGCGTCTCACAGGAGACAGGCCTGCGGGTTGCTTGCATTACTGCCCCATCAAATAAATGCTAAAGCTAGTTCTATGGGCTACACAACACTGCCACAGGGCCCCATGTGACCACGAGCAAGCCATTCCGCTCCATGCCTCAGTTTCCCCACCTGTACAAGGTGGATACAAATCCTACTTTTGTTCCTTTAGCCTTCAATTGTTTTTGTGGCAAGGACTGTCTCTTGCTGTGTGTCTGGGCAGCGCTTGGCACGAAGGGGCCCTGATCTCAGCTGGGGCAGGGCCTGTCTCTTGCTGTGTGTCTGGGCAGTGCCTGGCACGAAGGGGCCCTGATCTCAGCTGGGGCAGGGCCTGTCTCTTGCTGTGTGTCTGGGCAGTGCCTGGCACGAAGGGGCCCTGATC